AATCGAGCTGTCTGAGCAGACACCTGCAGGGTTCTTCCGCTGATCAAACCACTGCGGCGTCGCTTGGTGTATCCAAAACATTTCTCAGCTGCCTAATAGACTGGCGTTTTCAATGATGACCACTGGTTACTGTTTTCTCCCTCAGCTCTGATCGTAAAACAGGACCGGATTTCTTTTCTCAGGACCTCGGAAGTGCTGGTTTGCCTAATTTTGGCGACATCTAGGTGTCTAGCGCTGGTATTTTGGGCGCAGGTGAGCGATGAACTTTCGAGCGTGTACCAACGAGAACATGGTTTGTATTTCGTAGCCCTGTAGGAAGATTGGTGTAACTTACCTTGGGCGCCGTAAGGCGGGTGGGAATGCGACGAAGACAAGAATATGGTCAGAGCCGTGGGCGTTACCACTTTCTGCATCACACAACGATCCGTTTTCATGTACCGAGCTACATGATCTTGAACTGACTACAATTTAGCCCATCCGACTGGCCGTATGACTGTCTTCTAAGTAGCAGGTTAGCAGATGTTTGTTGCGGTGCTGGAAGCACGTGTTCGAGGCAAGCAGTCGGTCCCCTGGCGCTTTGACTCAAGTACCTAACAAAAAGGCAACAGTGGCAAGCAAACTTTAATGGCAGTTCACGGTCACCATGCCACAATGCCGTCATCGTGATTTGCGGTATTTTATAAGGTGGTCGATGTACCGGGCCTAATTCCTCCGTACCATGGTAATACTGTCTCTGCTGGTCCACGGATGCTTATTCGCCAGGCTCGGGAGACTGCTTATCTCACACCTAATCCTGCCCGAAGGCCGTCCTACTATCCGCCACCAGAAGACGCGGCAGGTAGGCAACAGTTAGTCTAACTACTTGTTTAGAACCTCGTCTTATTTGCGGTCTGTGGTTAAATGTCGCATTCTTTACCGAGGTATACACTAGGATATGTACTGCATTGCATTTACAGGCCACGAGAAACTCACACCAAGGGCTGGGCGTGCCGATAATTTTCGTGAAATTCCAGTCTAGATGATGCTGGCTCGAATTATCTATACGAAGTGTACTACCTGAAAGGTAAAACGTTGAACTTAAGAGTACTCAATTCTTAGAGAATCCAGGCTCGAAC